ATTTCAAGAGGATAACATCAGTAAGTACAAAACTAATATCCCATGTGGCCCTCTAAATAACTCAATATGTTATATAATATACGCATCAATACAACCAACTATGCACACAAATGGTGAAAAACATATAGATTAAGGGTACTTTATCATAAACATGTTTCCTTAATGATGTACAAGACAAATATACAGACTTTTAGGTTGTAGATAAACTTCTGTGACAATTATTTTATTGGTCGTAAATTTTGTATATGAATCTTATAATAAGCTGTTTAGTTGTAAAAACAAGAAATTATGATATCTTTATTTGAACTGTTCTATCTTTTTATTTCTATAGGAATATATATACCGTTCCAAAGAACAGTATACCGGAATATTGAAATGCTTTTTTCATAAAATGTGTTTCCGCACGTGGTATGAAAAGAATATTATTGTCTATTGAACGGAAAAAATATCTTGTTGCATTGACACTTTGGTTATTTCAAGGATTTCTATACACATCCTTGGTTATTCTTAAATAATTGACACAGATAATCAGGTGCTATACTTCTTACACACTTACACATTAATACTGCTTTCTGATATAGTGATTCTTTTCCTGAAACGTTAACCATCCTAATTGTTTGAATAAAGTTTTTGACGGTGTATCAAATGTTTTATTCCGAAAGATCCTGGCTGACATTTTATGTATTTTTTTGTGTATATATTTGAATTTTGTGGATCCGACTGGCTTTCAAATGTTGAACGCACTTCATGAATAGCACGTTGCGAATACAGATTTCTATTTATACTGTTTCTTTGATGAAAATGTTGTTGAAATCCAACATTTAAGTCTGATTTTTCTCGTCCATTTTCTGTGCATGTATTGGCAAGTATGGGTGTAACATCATTCATACTATGTATGTAATATCATTGATGTTCCTTTCTTGTTGAGTTGTACTCTGTCAGGATATAAAATACCTGAAATCAGCTGAGTACATAGCTGTCAATATGATTTATAAACTGTATGTGCATCTCATCACACAAGTCCACCAAATACTCATTGTAGTCAATCACACGAACTCCTTCCATTGGTAGTAGACCACCAACGATTATCCTAATTGACGGGTTTTCTTTATTAAGCATAACCAATGATTGTTATAATAATCTAAATGAATCTCTAAATTCTTGAACAGAGGCTTTATTTCCAACATCGTTTCCACCCAAACTGTAAAATGAGAGTAGTGTATGGTGAAAGATCAATTAAAGAGATATGCCTTTTAATCGACTGGACAGTCCAACCTCTCTTGGTTTTCACATTTACTTGATAATGACAGTTTCAAAGAATTTTATTCTGGTATCTATACGTTGGCCATTATTTTTCATAAAAAAACTGAGTACCGTTAACGTTATTTCGTTACTTTTGTACATAGCATAAGAGAGGTAACTGGTGTGTAACCAGTCAAAACAACTTAATCGTTTTCTAACTATAAAAAAAAATCATCGAATTTGTCCAACCGAAATACAATTATTGTAAAACTGCAAGGCCTAATTTCACAGTTATGAGGAGGAAAGATTAAAAATGACACTTCGTAAATTTTATGGACACCATCACGAATTGGTTGATCTATACGATGTGTCTTTGTCTAAACTAACTAATGACATTTTCACACGTCTTAGATTGGTCTATGTCGTCTGTCTGCTAAGTACCGAACGTGACCTATTCCCGAATATGACTGTTTTACCGAGTGTGAATATGCATTGCTATACGATGTGGTGTCTCGGTATTTTGTACATCCAGCATTCATGTATTTATTTTTGATGTTTCTGTTATGGTTTCGGTTGAATAATGTGTTATGTCTTATCGTTTGTAGTCCAAATAATTATAATATAGCCTTTCAATACCATCATTGTCATGAAAAATATTTGGACTGGTATTGTGAAAATAGTTTTTTCAACTTAGTTTTTAATTGCTCTATTTGTATCTTCTATACACATAAGATATCTTTGATACACATAAGACTAAATTATCATTCAACAAAACTGAAAATAATAATGTATCAGCACACAACGAAGGCATCTCACAATGGGAACAAGTAAATTACAGACGAAAATAAATGCATCAATCGCACAAAAGAGAAAACGCATGTCGAAGCCACTTACAAAGGCACCATTTACAATCCAACCTCTTATCACAAAGAGTGAAGGATACGGATGTACTAGTAATATCAAGACAATGTCAGATATTTTGAACATTAATTAAAAGAAAATAAATCGACTAAATAAAAAGAATTTCTCTAGAATGTGACATTTAATGTCTTAATACAATGGATCTACAGAGAAGAAGGTGCAAAAAAGTTTGAATCATTTGACCAACCATACTTTATCTCTGTAATTCACATAAAATAAAGCAAAAGGAAAAAATTATAGTCATTGATATCCAGTACGATCCATTAAATGTAGTCACAATCGACAACTATATGCATATGCAAATAAATAAATTGTACCATGACCAAAAAAAGTGTAAGGTGAACATTGGGACAAACTGCATCATTATTGATTAATAAGAAAAGACGTACAACATAAATATCTGTGGCAACCATCAAGGAACAAAATTTTCATTTAAATCAGCAATAACTATGAAACACTAGCTTAAAGCATATACTACAGAAAAGAAACAGACCACAATGCTGTCATCAAAATGAAAATTAACTTTGCAAAAATATTATTTCTTGGAAAGTTTTATTTCAGCAGTTACCCAGAAGCACTAATCATTTGACATTACAGGCTTCTTTAACTTAATGGACAAACAGGCTCAAAAACTTTCCACATATTGATCTGACTGAATAAACATGAACCAAAAAAAAAATCAACTTGCATGGTAATGAAAAAATGTTGAATCCTGAAAAAACTGTCTCAACTATTTGTAGACTTCTGTTAATAAAAAAAATAATTTTCTTACCCTAAGTATAGAAGCCTTAGCCGTATTTGAAATAACTTATCGGAATTATTGGTTTTCAATGCTATTCAGCTTCAACTTAGTAATATTTAATTTTACTTTTTAATATTTTGATTAGAACGCCACTGATGAGTCTTATATATGAAGACGAATATCTGGCGTATCAATTTATAAGCCTGGTATCTTCGATGAGTTTTTACAAACACTGTTTCGATGACACTGCTGGTTGAAAGTTTGTGTCCGAAGATATCACAGTTGTCAGCACCTTTGTGTTTATATGCCATATCATAGGTACGTTAGTTTTCTGTATGTTTGCTGTTATTAAAATGGTTGAATTATTCGTACTGTTGTAATTCCAAATCAAAATTAGTTCGAAAAATTTATTAATACTAAATTTTTCTAACCCGAGGCATATATAGCCTATGCCGTATTTGGCATACCTTTTCAAATGCTCATCAGCTTCGAACTAATTTTAATTTTAAATTACAACTTTTTTGATTAGAGCGCTACTGATGAGTCTTCTGTAGACGAAACGCGTGTCTGGCATACTAAATGATAACCCTGGCATCTATGATGAGTTTTTTGCAACCACTGAGTTGATGTCACAACTTGTGGACGTTTCGTGCCAAAGGGTTTCACCAACCCAGTTGTCGACACTTTCGTTTTTTGAGAAAATAAAACATCATGAATACGTTCTTTTTTTCTGTAAATTTACTGTTTATAAAAGTGTTATATCATGAAGTATTCAAAATACCAAGGGTAATTTTTTGTTTTGTTTTTAATGGTCTTCAACTTTGAAGATTGTGAATTTCAATTGTTTTGACAAGAGCGCATGTGATGACTCGTACGTAGACGAAACGCGCGTCTGGCCTATCAATCTATAAGCAACCTGGTATATATGATAAGTTACTTTTGTCAGACTTTTGGTTTGAATTTTAGAAAGCACTGTCACACATGAAAATTGCAATGAAAAAAAATGTTAATTCAAATGCAAATGTAAATCGCATAAAAATGGTTGAAAAACGTTGAAGATCCACGAAGCCATCCCATGCAGATAATTTCACCAGCAGTAACATATGACTTTAAATAACAAAGCAAGTATTGCTACAGGAAGATTACTGTAATTGACTGTTATCAAAAGGTCTATTACGTCACTTAAACTTAAAAAATACTTTTATATAGATAGGGAGAACATTTTCTGTTAAGATGCCAAAACAAAGAATGTACAGCGAAAGAAATCATCACCAGAAGTAAAACAGTCAAATAAAAACTATGTATATCATTGACGGGAGAAAATTGTGGATACAGCACTCTGATACAGGCAATTGGAGACAAGATGGAACAAGCACAGGAAATCCTTGATCTTAATCAAGAGACTTTAGTGGACCTAGTGGGAATTAATCTGTGATTTACATGTAACAAGTTCAATATTGCACAAAAACAACCGTTGTCTGGTAAGTCAGGAGGTCGATAATCCCAGGCGGAAGGAATTATGGTTTCGCATGGGAGGTGATGCATGCATAGCAGGAAACGCCTACCATGTCGACACACTCGGTCTCGCTTCTTTTATAGTTCATGCTATTCCCTTCTTTTAAATCTTTTTTTTTGAAATTTGAACATCGGCAATCTACTGTCGCCTTAATTTACCATTATTTCAAAACTGAAAAACCATAAATTTGAAGTGAATTGTTAGCAGTCAGAATCAGGTGTAACGTCTTCCTGAATATTCTTTCAGAAGCAAAAAGAAAAAAAAAAGACAACATTTCTTTCTTTCTTTTCTTTTATGTTGATTTGTATATACGTAATTCATCGAATAAGATACCCAGAAAACATACTGAAGTTACTTGCAGGGTCACTGTAGATGTATTTCTCTCCTCCCCCTTGCTTGATGTATACTTTGTCGCCTTTCTTAAGCTCTAATACCATATTTAGAGATCCCATATTATGATTATCACTACCAGGATAGGCAGCTACTGTCTTCATATCATTTTTCCATAGGAACACACGGAGGGTTTTACTATGTTGTGTCATTACTGAGCAAGAAAACTGGTACACCCCTGGTTTTGGAGCTGTGTATACGCCGGTACTTGAATCATAATCATTATTGACGTTCGTCCAAACTTTGTTAAATTTTATAATTTCGCCAGCTCCTAAGGTTTTTGAAGCAGTTAAAGAAGCAGCAAAGGCTGAAAATTCCTGATCATGCTGACTCAAACCTAATCAGCATTGAGGAAAAAAAAGACATTAAAAAGTCGAAATCATTCACGCGTTAACTTTCAATAGAAAAAAGAATAAGTTGATGACAAAAACATATTTTTTTAAAGAAAAAAGACCGTTACATCTAAGAAATCATTAATACATTATTGTTTGGTACATGTATCTGTACAAAAAAATATGTGCGTGCATGTCCTTATTGCATGCATATAGAAATGTAAACAAAGGAGACAATCGTATTAAATTAGTACCATTTGATATAAATTCAAATTATAAGTTAATAAACATAAACAGTTTGAAAATAAAGTTCTCAGAAGTATGTATAAATAGAATATGATTTTATGAAATATAGAAAAATTAATGCGAATCCGTCTGGTTAGTCTAGTTCTTTGTGTTTTCTGTAATATAATACTGTCTACAGTGCAAACCATTACCTTTTCCTTTTATCTTCATCATCATACTGAGCAGGTCTTCGAAAAGGGCGTTTTCTGTTTAAAAAAATGAAGAATGGATGTATTCAATGATGTCGTTGACTTGCAAGAATGAATAGATAAAAGTTACAGTCATGTACCATCTCAAACAGTTGCATTTTCATATGAATAAAATCAACAGATGCGGGATATATACTTCAATAAGACAACAACCCAACGACAAATAAACATATATACTATAGTGGGCTACAGTTTCCACAAATGGACAGGTGTCTATACAATTCGCCAAGCTCTAAATCGTACGGTGTCTATAAAAGTTGTGAATTTTAAAAAAACTTGATATGACATTAACACAAGAACATTGAGATATATGATATAAGAACACCGAATAACGACGTTATTGATCTTGGACAGACATAGGAACATGCATGTAGATCTCTATTTTTTTATCTCGAGTAGTTGCCTACATTTTTTTAAAGGGTACATAATAGAACGTACAATAAAAATTGGTGCTTATTTAAAATAACGGTGTTATAATCAAATTAACAAATATAAGTTAAAATTATAAATAATATAGCGTATTCAAGAATGATCGAACTTACTGAAAAACAAAGCTCAGAGTATCTTTACCTTCTGATATAAATTGCTGCCCTACACTTTAATATGGGTTGCTCTACAGTGTTTTAAAAATTAACATTTTACAAGAAAGAATGTCTCTCATCATTCGCTAATATATATTGCTATATTTGTAAAACAAAATAAGAACTAATTCATATTGTCGTTACATGGGAGCAATACCTTCTATTATTATACATTACACATAAAATAATCAATTATATTCAGTTATACATGTACATTATCAAGTGACATCAAAATTGATGCTTAAGTTGAGAGCGCATTTTATTTAAAAAAGGTACCATACCGAGTTTTGGTGTACACGATCCAGAATCCGTCTTATGGCCATAGCACCTCATTACCAGTAAAATTACAATTAAACAAACAGCATTCATGATGCGCATTGTGTAACCGTTCTGCAACAATAAGAGGTTGTATTCAGTTTGAGAAGTTGTAAGTAGAATGAGAATGTCAAAAAATTTAATGTAAATTGCTGAATTACCACATCGCATGTTACTAAATTGACAATGATATTCGATGATGAAATATGATATTTTCATAGAATGTTTAACCTTCCTCGATTTAATACAAAAAACTTACTTGTATGAGTTCTCGTATAGAATAGAATAGAATAGAATATTTTTATTCGTATACCTCAATATTAATAATAGTTCAGAATAAATGTTTGTTTCGGATATACATGAAATATCTGCCTCTTGAGGTTTATATAAAATATTTACCAAAAATAGAAGTAAATCAGGGAGAACTATGCCTTACATTTATAAAAGGGGGAACCAACAAATAAACAGGAGGCAATAGAAAACTACTAAAGCCATAAAAAACAGAAAGCACCAGAGCAAAAAGAAAAAAATAAATAAAACAAAACAGACATACAACAGTTCTAAAAATATTACGCAGCAAACTATAAGTAGAGCAAATAATTAGAAACAGTTTAATCACTCCATCCTACATATGTATATATTGTATGACTAATTCAGCAGAAATTGGCTATAAAATTGACATGTTGTCAAATTATCTCTCTAGAGAGAGAGTTCTGTACAGCACCGATGTATTTTATAAACGCATCATATACCTCGAAATTGACATAAGCGGTCATCTCAGTATCATAATCTATGACAAACGAGACGATATTAATTTTGAAGTTATAAATTTCCCCAACCTTAGCAGCAATATACCAACTTCACCTGCATATGGGATATGCATATATATTCAAGAGCTTGCAGCTGCTACTCAGACTTTTTATAAAACGTTATCAGTGTCTGAGCAGAAAGTTGATGAACCAGGGTTATGTCAAAGAATGTCTCGATCTTTTTCTAAAAAGGTTCATCGGGAGATACCAAGACCTTGTTGATAAATATTCCAGTTCAACTTCACAAATGATACATGATGGTCTTGAAGTATAGATTCTAGGTACTGACGTTGTTTATCATTTTAATTATGTGTTATAGTATTCTTTTTATTTGTCGTTGTATGTTTTTAATCTTTACTGTTTATGTCATTTTTGGTAATATCCTTTTGCCGTGACTCGGTACTTATACATCCCGCCATTGTTTTATTATACGGTCAATTTTTTTGTATTCTTGTCTTTCATTTTTGCTTATGTGCTTTGTCTATAGACTGTCTTTATGCCATTTTGTTTTACTTTTTTGACATAGTTGTTTGTTTTTATAGTGTTTAAGGTTATAACACAATGTTGACTGTTATTCCTCAATTTTTGACCTTTTTACCTATTATATCTGTTTGTTTTGCTTACACATTGTTGTCAATATAATGGAATTTACGCGACTGTCATACAAGTGAGAGGTTTAGCTAGCTATAAAGCGAGGTTTAAGACACCATTTTCTACATAAGGAAATGCCTGTACCAAGTCAGAAATATGACAGTTGTTTTCATTCGTTTGATGTGTTTGAGCTTTTGATTTTACCATTTGATAAGGGACTTTCCGTTTTGAATTTTCCTTGGAGTTCGGTATTTTTGTTATTTTACTTTTTTTGCAGACACAAACGAGGCGAAAGATATTATGGGGACATTCATAACTCATAATTTGAAGACAAACTGACAACGGCATGGCAAAAATCTAAAAACGAAGACGAAGGTCGGATGACATCTAAACTTCGATATAATCTGGAACAAGCCCATTCTTCTTTTCCAATCCGAGCAGAAGAGGAGACTGAAAGTGTGCTTTTGCCTAATGAGAAGACATCCATATGTATGTCTGGATTGAAGCTTTCAGTACATGTTTGGAGGTAGATTCTCACGGCAGAAGTTTGGCAAAGGAGGACTTTTCAATTGTAACCAATTGTGCCCTTAATTTGTTAAAGTCACTATGATCAGTTTTGTGTTTAGCTATATAGACTTTAGATCATACTTGAACATATTCGCGACATCGCAAGTCCGTGACTTAACTAAAGTACCTATGCCTTATTTTCAGCCTGTATTTTTAGTATTCGTATTGTCATCTGATAAAGTCATGCTGATTGTAAGGTGCACAGTTTTCTCTGCTTTTAAAATCTTTCTGTTTGAACCCGTCCTGGTTTTCTTACTACAATAAACCTACTATATGCTAAATTTGATTTTTTTTAACTAATTAACCAAAACTAATAGTGGTATTGAGATAGAAGAAAACAGACTTGTTAGATAGTGTACTATAGTGTAACATAGATAAAAAACAACTACTGGAAGAGTTCCAGGTTCTCCTGATAGAGGCGGGATTTACAGAAGGTAACAGGTAACCGGAAACTACATGTGACATATACTATTGGTATCGGTATCGGATTTGACCCGGAACTTGTTAATCATTGGTAATATTAATTATATGGAAAACAAAAGGGCCGAGAATGGTGTAATTTTTAAACAACACCATGGTCCTATATAAGTTATTATATAAAGTTGAATTCATTGTTTCGTAGTTTTCTCGTAATGCCGGGTAACACATTGGACCTCGATATTTTAGTAGTATAGATAAACTGGCAACAAGATTTCGAGCTGCGACTACAGATTTATCAATGTCACAGTTGGAAAGGTTTGACAAATCGTTGAATCTGCGGGGTTGTCCTTCAATACTTTGAAATCAGTTTACCGATCCCAAAACAGGAATGTTGTATCGCATCCTTGTACAGGATATGCGGCTGGTGAAATGTTACAGATAACAGACCCGAGACTATTACATGAATCAATGACAGGTATATGAAGCAGCGTAAATATTGTGTGAAAGTGATAGTGCCTGTCTGAAACCATAGTTCATGCATGCGTGTGCTGCATGGAGGATAAGTACTGAACGCACGAATAAGATCAATACATCTGTATCTGGTGACTTTATAATTATTCGATCCTTAATACCTTTCACACCGAACATCTTGTTTGAGTTAATAGTATGTAAAATCGTGCGAGTATCAGCTTCCCCATGCGTGCAAAATTTTTCTTCAAAACTCTTTCGATGCAGATTTTCAGACATAGGGTCAGTTGAAGTGCCAGCTAGAAAAACGACCTCCCCAGATGAAATTGCAACTGATGACTAAATCTGATTAAAGGCCTGCTTAAAAACTACAATATTTTTTGATTGACTGTTTTAAACCATACTTATTGAAAACATCGACTAGACAATCGGTATTTGACAAACAAGATTACTGATACTGCATAAAGTCCAATTCCAAATGCCCAAAGGTTTTTAATTTTTTTTTCACATTCAAAGATTGAATCAAGGCCATACCGTCTCGAATTAGTACAGTAGAAAATCTATTGAAAGGTTGCAGGGACTTAACACATAGAATTAGGCTTCCAGCTGATGACCAATTTCTGCCTTGCATGTTTTCCTCATTGTTCCATCATCATGAAAAGGCGATGTTGGTATTAGCCCGATAGGAAATTACAAAACTTTTTCTACAGTAACGTCGTCCCGACTATTTACCAGCATCAATACCCGACGAAAGATAAACTCAGGATTGATGTGACCTTCGATGATTTTACCTGACCTACATTTAAGTTTTTTTTGTTAGGTGGGTCTTGAACGTCTTTTACTTTTAACGGGTGAGCGGGCCGTAAAGGTTACCATTTTGGTCCTCTGCAAGAGCACCGTCTATAAACGATTTGACCATGTTTGTGCCATCATCTGCAACATTTAAAAAAGATGATTCAATATCTCTTGGCGGATAAATTCCTGTCGAGATGAGGATGATGATTTGGATGAAATGAAACGTCACAGGGGTCTGTCATTCTTAGTTGCATATGGCATACAATAAGTTTCAAATGATCCTCGTTACGTTTTCATAGATGTTTGTTTGCCTCATCTTGTGGCGTTTGTTCGGCAACAGTAGTTAAACCAGATCATTTTCTCATTAGAACTGACATCTACTAGAATCTGGTGAGCAAGGGACAACCTTGTAACAAACCTCGTGTTGTTATTAAACTGTGAAATAATTCAGGAATAAGGAGTACTGGAATTTTTTTTTAACTCGATGCCATTTGTGAAGAAACAGACTGTGTGATATACTTAACGATAACATTTCCTTCAACAGTATTTGATTAATCGACTTTTTAACATCGTGGGAACATATCAGAAACTAACTTATTAAGGTTTTCTTTATAAGTGGATAATAGAAAGGAATTGTAAGTTGTAAGTTGACAATTTAGCACACAAAGTTAGATTATATATTTTAAATATAAATGTAACAAGCAAAAGTATATAGATAATGGTAATGAAAATGGAGGCACAAACATACTAAATACGCAATTTTTTCTGCATTGACAAGGTATTAACTTCAATAAATAGTGACATTGAGATCGCAAAGTAAAAGTAAGGAAAGGTGTCATGGCGAACATAAAAAAGTTAAATCCCACGACTAGATTCGTAAGGATAAATCATTGTTTGACATGATAATCAAAGTATTTCATAGGTAACTTTTACCAAGACTTATATATATTAAACAAGCCATTATCATTTGCAAAGTTAAATGGATTAAATCATGGGAATCAAAGTCAATGCATTCATCACTGCTTGTGCACACCCAAAAAGTTGACCACTCGGCAATGTTCAATTAAATATATATTCATACACAATTAATAAAAATAAAGTCAGTCTAAATGTGTGTCACAATTTTCCCTAACCCGAGTCTATAAATACTCTTGTATTTTCTGGAGGTAACAGTATGCTAGAACTTTAATTGTCTTTATTCTGATTCTGTGATTTTTAATCTGAGATATATGTATTTGCATTGTTTGATTATATCATCTACGCTTCTGTTTCTTTAGTGAAAACATCTTTCTCTATTTTTTGAGTTATTTTCACATTTCTTGATCGGTGTGAGAAAAATATTTCTCCTCACTAGTGAAATATCTGTTCTCGGCAAATGATTGGTTGAAATTTAATTATGACGTCAAATTGTCTTGGTTTTCTCTGAATTTCCTATTGTGACGTCATGAAAAAG